AGCAATCAGGTTGCCAAAAATCTCTTGCAAATTCACAAGCCAAGTCTTTCCTGGCATGTCAACAGTTGTTTTGAATACTCTTTGATTGCAGTACAATCAAAATGATCGCTAGGCTCTGTAAAATGACTGTAATATCAAGTATGTTAAATTAAATAGCTGTCAAAATCTATTAAAAGTTAAAAGATGTCAACTAGAGCACTGAACGGAGCTTTTACAGAGCCATTTTGACACAGCTGCTGTTACGTAATTTAAGAACATTTGTTTTATTTAAAATTGCAGTGCCAGCATACAATATAACTACAGAATAATACAATTCATTCGCCCTTTAAGTCTTAACAGTCGCTGTTATGTTAATAGAAAACTTCTTGCGAATGTTTTTATATAGCAACTGCTAACAGAGCGCTAACAGAACGTGACTAGTTACAACAGTATTATGTTAAATTTAAAAGATATCTTTAAAAAATATCTCATGATGCTAGCAGAGACGAATAACAGAGCAGCGCGCCTTAGCAGGGCAGCGCCTTAGCAGAGCAGCGCCTTAGCAGAGCAGCGCCTTAGCAGAGCAGCGGTTTAGCAAAGCAGCGGTTTAGCAAAGCAGCGCTTTTGCAGAGCAGTGCGTCCACAGTGCCGATCGTAAACAGAGCAGAGCAAAGTAACAGCTGGTAACATATCAGCTTTTTCCCATTTCATTCTAATTGGACTTCTGCAAAATGAAATATATTTTTAGTGAAATCATTTTTTTTAATAATATTAACACATTTGCAGAAATTTGCATAAAAACTTGCTCCCACCCCAGAAAAGTTTGCTGCTGCCGGTTAACATAATATTTACATCAAAATGAGTAATAATAACATATTTTTCACATAAATTCCTATATTTTATGGCTGCATGGAAAGTGCATGTAACATTCGTTGTGCTGCAAAAAGTTTTGTTTGTAGCTCGCGTCGCACAACGTGGCCCAAGGAGAAGGTAGGCGGGGCGCGCCGCCTGCACAATTATTTATGCCTCGTATGATTTGTCGCCGAATCGTGTCGCATTTTGCATAAGCCGTCAACAGTTGCGCCACAATTTACAATTTGATTGCTCCAAATCTAAAGCTCGGCTCGAGTCTGTGGGCCCGATAAGTGCCCCGATAAGCTCAGACACTTCCCGGGCAACGGGCAGCGGGCAGCGGCTGCGCCTTTGGCCGCGTTGCGTATACGCAGCATTGCCCAAGCCAAGAAAATTGATGAAATTTCCAGCTGCTCGCGACATAAGCCAAACAAAAATTAAAGGCAAAAACTTATAAAATATGTATAAGAAAAAAGAAAAACTCGGGCGCATTTCAAATGCTGCAACTAATTGTTGCATTTATGCGCAATTTTCTGCGTATTTTCTGTTGCCAGCAGCTTTTTTGCCCAAACGTGTTTATCAGCCAGTTCAATTATCAACTTTGCCTAAGCCCCTAACCTGGTTAAGAGCAAGTCGATTTGGGTGAAAAGAAACAGCTTTTTTGTATTTTCTGATTTTTTTTATTATTTTACCTGATCGGATCTCTACTCAGCGCATAAATAAGGGAAGAATGCATAGTTAAAACTATGTAACTTGTATGATATTTACAATGAGGGCTAATTTACAATGAAGGGGGAGGAGATATTTAAATAATGCTCCTTGTAGGTAGGTTGTCGGGGTGTTGCCTTCGGTGGCGCCTCTCTCTCTCTCTCTCTCTCTCTCTCTCTCTCTGATAGGGTCAGCCAGGATCAGGCAGCCAGTCCTTTGTTAGGCGGAGATCGCGTCCAGAAACAGCTTGGCGTGATTCTGCAACAACGGAAGAATCGCTGACTAAATGAGTTTTTCGAGCATCAAGAACTGCAAAACTGAAAAAAACGAATTGTAAACAATTTAGCAGCTATATAATATAGTGTATAAATAGTTCGATTTTGCAGGACTTTGCGTATTGTACCTGTCGGAAGCAGGGCAGCTAATGCCAGCAAAAAAATAGTCGCTGGTTCGGCTTACGATTCGCACCAACTTTCTGCGTTGAGGCTCGGCTTGTGTGCCTTGTTATTTTAAATATTTTCATTCAGAAATTGACCCCTATACAAAAATGTGCGTCTGCCAAATAAGGTTTGAGCCTGCATCTGCCTGAAAAGTTCTTGATTTTGTATTTGAAAATGTTTCGTTTCGGCATTTTCCGGCAAAGAGCTTTGCCTTAAGTTTCGGTTTGCATTTATTGAAGTTGCGAGCTGCATGAATTATTTCAAGCGCCTATTTTAAAACGGGGACAGGGGACAGGAAACGGGGGCTCTGCCGCGAGCTCTTTTAAAAGGCGCACAATGTACGCGAATTGATTGGAAAATGTTCTTACGGGCGATACGGGGATAATTAAAACAGCGATTGTTATTTATGTGGCGCCCACCTCGAAATGGTTTGTCTGCAAATGGCATCAAAAGCTGACAGGCAACAACAAATAATAAAAAACAAGTAAGAGGCTCAAGTCGAGGGCTCCCGACTAGGGGATACCCTGAACCCTCTTCTTCCAACATCAAATGCATATATATATTCTATTTTAGAAGCTATATGTCAAGTTTGGTGACTCTAGCTCTTATTATTTACCAAAATTGCCCAAAAAACATGATATCGATATCAATTTTTATCGATTGCTTAGAAACGGAGTAAGTTATCGATTATCGGCAGCAAAGCGATCTACGCAGGTACTAGGAGGACCTACATCTAAAATTTCAAGTCTCTAGCTCTAATAGGTTCTGAGATCCTTGCGTTCATATTTTGGAACGTCATATCTCCAAGCGAAGTTATGTCGTTTTGGAACGTCATATCTCCGCGCGGAGCTATTACAAGAGAGCTATTACCCAAGAGTTATTACGCGAGAGCTATTACCCGGGGTAGGTTCGAATATCAAAACTTTTTTGAATATATTTTTGAAAATCTCGGGTAAATATAATCTGATTTTAAAATATTATACCTTTTTGAATTCGTACGGATCCCTACTATCATATGGCATTCAAAGAAATTAAAAATTGATGGGTTGGAAAAAGTGGTTGACCAAAAAACGTTTCGTTGTTATAATCAACCTTTTTTGTTGATTTTTTTAGACTATCTCGGCCAAGTAATCCCAGAGTCGAAGCTTTCGCCAACCCATACAAGAGACCTCGCTGAGAGGTGTGTAGTCAGAAGGCTCAAGAAAAGATCCTTTAGAGACCTCCTCCAACCACGACACAGGAGCAGCCCCAGAGCCCACCTACCTACGTGACGATGCAGCCTTACTCAAAGAAGACGGCTTTGACGTTTGCCCACGATAAAGCCTGAGGAGCCAACCAGGATTGGCGAGATACCACCTAAGTTAACGGTTTTGTAATAAAAATGTATGCTATTTTTTTGTTTCAATACAATAAACATATATGGTTAAAAAAAAACAAACTTTTTTGACGATTTTTTTTTTTAACTCTCGGGTAAATATATCCCGTTTTTGAAATGTTATACCTTTTTGAATTCGTACGAATTCCTACTATCGTACGGCATTCAAACAAATTAAAAATTGATGGTTTGAAATGAGTTGTTGACCAAATCTAATAACAAATTAATACACACACAACAAACCGCAACTAAAGTGGGCATTGATGGTAGGTTGAGATACAAAGTGGGCGTGGCTGTCGACCAAAACGCTTGTATCGCAGCTGCGGCAACGACGCGAACAACATCAATTCGACTTCTACAATAAGAGACAAAACAACAAAAACCAACTACGGCATGCCGAAGAGGAGATACCCTTTCTGCTGTGATCAACAGGTTTCAATCGAAGGGTGTCCAGTTGAGCTAATTGAGATCTAATGAAAAGCAAACAGGTAAAATGCTCTAGCTGGGTATGCCCGACTAGGTGATACCCTGCACCAAGCGACAAGCTGCCATTACAAGCCAGCTGCACACTTTCCGCAACAACTGTGCTTCTTCTTTTCCTTTGCCTCTCACTATTTAAGGGGAATGTTAGCTTCGGGGCTTAAAGTCCCATCCTTATGAAATTTTCAGCGCTTGAAAATGGCATTGAAAAACGTGTACATGCCACAACACAAGGCCTGCCTTCAAAAGGTATTTGTTTTTATTTTCATTATTCATCTGTGTTCGCCATACGAGCATACACATAGCCAAGGCAGGGGTTCGAGCCGGGAACTGAACACTTTTTTTAGTCTCGCGCTTCATATATTTCAGTTCAAGGATCGGCAGTCTCTTCTAGCCTTGCAGTCACATTACATGTTTATGAAATCGCAGCTGCCTCTCTTCATGACAAAATCAATATGCCCTACGCAAGTGTATGGCACAAAGTCGCAACACAGACAAAATCTGCGCTCTTGTTGCTGTTGCGAGGTGTGGGCACTTTTGCTTATTGACTCGAAAATGAAGGCTGAATTTTAACGTGCTTGGCTTTGTCTCTATAAGCACTTTATATATATATATATATATATATATATATGTGTGTGTATACATATATATGCACAGTCAATGGTGCGCCCTCGTTAATGGGCCGCAACGGCACACAACGGCATCGCCTTAATTTGTAGCAGTGGACGCATGCCACGCCCGCCAGCAAGAAGTGTCATTCAAACACAAATTCAATTGCTCAATTTGTAATTATGCTGTTGGGCGCCACCTGGCGGTCAAGCGACAAGTTGCGTTCTTGTCAAGTGGAAAATTTTCGAGAGAGAAAAGTTAATGGGAAAAATAAATTGTATAAGATCCTGAATTGGGTAAATTTAAGGTTTCAATATAAGAAAATGTACTTTACAGGGCCTACCGATCCGTATATGGTATAGGTCCTATGATATAGCGCTTATGTTACGATAAAGGTATTTTTTGTTGGAACTTGGGCTTAATTTATGACACCTATTCCCGCAATTAAATATACATTTTACTTAAAGGAATTTAAAGCTTTAATATTCATGCAAAATAACATAACAAAAGTAATGATAAATAGTAATAGTTAATAAAATCAGCTAAAGTAATATTTGAAGAACTAATTAACAAATCATAGTTAAGTTATAAACAAACTAAAAACTCTATATAGAGTTCGTAGGAACCCGAAAACTCTAAGCCTAAACTAAAACTGAACAAATGCGTAGGAAATCTGTTCGATCATTAGACTCGAGTGAAATCCTTGGTCTCGACGGTCGCGTCACAGGACAAATCGGCCACGATGCGACGATATGCAAACTCTGGCACCAGAATGCCGACAATCCTTCTGCTGGGCTCCGTTTTGACGCGCACCATCTGCATCTGTCGTCCGTTCTTCTCGATAATGCTCGCGACACGTTCCCACACGGATATCAGCAGACCCGACAGCACGTGATAGGATCGGACGCGCAGACCCAGACCGCACCGCTTGCCGTAGGAGCACTTGCAGCTCCAGTAAATGTGAGAGCAGATGTGCAGGCACTTGCTGAACTGCATATCCCAGAATGGCTGGGCCGCCTTCGGGGAGGCCTTCACATAGCGACCCAGCAGGGAGCTGAGCGGCTCGGTGCGCACCTGAGCACCTGTATTAGGTCGTATGATCACCAGATTGATTTTGGACGGATCGCTTGGCTCGTCGGTGGACTCCTCATCGGTTTCGATATTCAAGCACAAAATGGCGCAGTTGTTGTTGTTGCGCTTCTGATGCAGTATATAGAAACCCTCATGGGCTTGACGCTGCTTCTTCTTGAATCTAGAGCGACAAATGTACGTGGATTAGTTACAAAAAGATTGATTGATTGATTAATCGATTGATTTACTTACTCCGTCAGAGCCGCATCAAAGGAAAGACCACGCTCCACCTCAACGGTGTGCAGTTCCGTGCTCGCAGTGCCCGTGACATATATGCGCCTAAAGGTGATGAGCTTGGTCACCGTGACAACGGCACCATGCACGTCCAGGTCCGTGATGCCCATGTTTAAGTGACGCGTGCGCTTCACCTGCAGCATCAGGGCGTACATCTTGCTGAGGAAGAACTTGAACAGAGCTGCCTGCACCTCGAGGCGGCAGCCCAGCAATCGATTCAGGAACGTGGGTATGTGATTGCTGCCATTGTTCACGACATAGCTTCTCTGGCCAATGCTGTTGAGGCCCATATGGAGCATGCCAACGCCAGCCAGAGCCTCGGAGCAGTCGAGGCTGAAGTCGCCCTTGTAGAAATCGGGCACGAGTGCTGCTTCCAGCGGCTTCTTGCCCGTAATCTGCTGCAGCACGCTGTCCAGAGCGCTGCTGCCGATGCTGTTGTTGAGGTTGAACAGCGATTGATCCCGACCGAAAGGATCCCCATCCGGTGGATTGCTGTCCATCGCGCCCAAGTTCTTCAGTTCCATGGCCACCATGTTCGCCTGATGCAGCTCCGCGGCCACATCCGAAATGACGATTACGTATTCCGGTTCGTTTATCTGGTTAGTGCGCTTCGTGCATCCGAACTGTTGTATGGCACGCTCAGCGTTCCACGGCAGCTCCAGACTGATGTACACTCGTTGCCTTTGATTGGCCACACTCTGATCGCTATGCAGGGATATGCCAGACGAGGCTGCTTCCGAGATGATGGCCACCTTCTTTCTATCATCCATAAAGGCCTGCCTTTCGGCATAGTTAAGCATATCCATATTTGATTCCGTATCGCCGCGCAGCTCGTACTTGTAGGAGAGATCGCCTGTTTTGATCACCCGACCGCGCCGTTTAGTCAGCTCGGCCACCTCGCTGGGGCCGCCCAGATCCGCAATGATCTTATCCACAGTATTTGGCGGCATTCGACGACTCAGCTGCTGTATCTTTAAGAGAAACTTATCCCGTGCGCTGATGCAGCGCTTCACCTCGCTCTCTGTGATTTGGTCTGCTTGGGGATCGATGCCGTCAAAGCTATACTCGAAGCCCTCTTCTTCCGGCTCCGCTTTCATGTTGTTGCATAAATGCTTCAGGATGCGCTGGTGCATGGTTTTTTCCGCTGAAAGAGATCAAATTTAATAGGTTCAAATAAAACAAAATAAATAAAATTTCACCCACAAGGGCGGAAAATGTGTGGAAAACATTTTTTTTTTCTTTCACCCAACTCTCTCATCTCTTAGATTTGTGATAGAAAAATGTATTTAAGCATTCATTAGAAGCGGCTTCTCTTCATACCCTGAACCCACTGAAAATTGGTAAAAGGGATATAATGTATTCTTGATCAGTATCAATAGCCAAGTCGATATAGCCAAGTCCGTCTGTCTGTCTGTCCGTATGTTTGAACGCAAATATCTCAGAACCTATAAGAGCTAGAGACTTGAAGAGATTTTGAATAAAGGTCCTCCTAGTGCCCGCGCAGTACGAGTTTGTTTCCGATAATCGATAACTTTTCCCGTTTCCAAGTAATCGATCAAACTGGACATGGAAATCCTTTTTGAGCAAATTTCGTAAGTTACACTAGCTCTTGTAACTTACCACCAAACTTTTACATTTAGCTTTTAGAATAGTACATATACATATATGTCAAGTGTGTTTCATTTTATAGCTATCACCAGCTCCCAGCTACTACCTCATAGCTATAAATCAAGTAAGCCAGTTTAAACCATAATTTAAATGCAATTACCTTTTAAGAATATGCAAATATTCTATATCACAATAAGTTCATAATTGGGCGGAAAGTGAATATATACCAGCTAGTTTTGATATTATTTATTTCGTACATCACTTACCCTTCGAGGTTATCGAGCGTCGGGGCTTGTTTTCAGCATCATTGCAATCGTCTTCATCCTCCTCCGAGGAACTGGTTTCAGTATCGTCAGAAGTCGTGCTGGACCAGTCGGCAGTCATGCGTGGACGCTTCGGGCCGCCCGTGGCATTTGTGCGCTTCTCCGGATCAAAGGCGCCGCTCCTCAGCAGCCTTTCGAAGCATTCGACGCTGGGTGCTGGAAAGTATTTTTCAATAAACGATTGTATGATCGCCTTGGCAGTAGACACAAAGCCCGTCAGCTCAGATCGGTCGTATTCCAGATGGTGCAGGGCGCGGCACTCGCTGGTCGACTGCACCCCAATGACCACTGCCCGCTCCCTGAGCCTAGCGTCGTTGGCCATCTTCACCACATGCTTCAGCTTGGCGGCCATACAAAGGTTCTTGAAGTATCGCTGATGCGCGGACCAGAACTGCCGATTGATCCGATCCTGGATACGCGGCTCAATGCGAATGCGCCGAAAGGCCTTGATTAGCTGCTCATTTATCTTGGCCCAAAGCTCCGCTGAATAGTTGTAGAACTTGCGAAACTCTCGCGACAAAGGCACCTGCTCAATGCGATAGTTGACATTATGCAAGCTCAGCTGGCGCGACACATAGATGCCGCGCAGCTTCATGTCAACGGCGACGATCTCCATGGCGCCACTGCCCCGCTTTTCCACGGCATTGACGAACTCAAGGAATTCCGCATATGGGGAGCCCATGCCCCACAGGCCCAGCCGCGTCATGTAGACCATATTGCGCGGCTCGGCGGCGCCCGTGGCCGAGGCATAGACAATCCGTGCCATGGGCAGCAGCTGTTGCAGCTTCAGCACCGAACTGCACATCTTGATGAACCTTTCGGTGTTGCTCAGACTCATCCTATTCGCCTTGTGGCATTCATCCAATATAACAATGCCATTCTTGCCTAGCCACTGAGCTAGCTGGCTCACGTGGGTCTCGTATTTGGCTGTCGAATTTGATGTTTCGCCCGTCAGCTCTGTGTAGGTGGCGCAGATGATGCCCTTCGTAAAGGACTCATTATCCGTCTCATCCGAGACTATCTGGTTGTATTTGAATTTTCCAATGGGCTCTACTTTGATCTGTTCGCTAACGCCAATATAGTTCAGCTCACGCTCCACCTCAAATCGTAGATGCTCCGATACGGATATCCAGAGGGCACGATTGCGTCCCTGCTGAAAGTTCTCATAGATAATGGCCGCCAGGGTGCGTCCTTTGCCCACGCCCGCACCATCGCCCAATAGGAAGCCAGCACGCTGGCCGCTTGGCAGTATCTGCTCATGGGCCTGGCAAGCATAAATCATCGCCTCCAGCTGCAAGTCACTGAGTCGATGGGGATCCCTTGGCTTTTCAGCCAGCGACAGCGCCGGCGTGTATGTCATTTTTGGCAAATCCAATGAGAGTAACGTCGACATTTCGACCACCTCGTCGGGATGCGCCAAGCTGTTGGCCTCGAGCTCATGCAGATTGCTGGGCCAGTATATTTCATAGCTATCTGGCACGCCAATTTCTTCCAAATCCATCTCGTCCTCATCCACTAGATGAGGCTGCATATGTGCCGCTTCGCGGCGTGTCGGCAGCTTCAGGGTTCTGCCATGCAACAGTCCCTTACGCACAATGCGCGCTCTGAAGATAGCATTCATGTCCTTCACCTTGTATGGCTCCCACTCATCTAAAGTTTCCGAGTTTGTGCTCTACGCGGGGTTTATAAAGATTTCTCAATTATTTATCGATTTAATAGTTTATATACTATCGATTCTCTTCTTCGATTAAACATTTAATTAAAAATAGGTAGGAAAAAATATATTAAGATAATTGGGTGGATCTGATCGAGTAAACATCAGATATCTGATAATTCCATTCTTCCACAGCTTTCATTGGGGGCATTCAAAGCCACAGAGTATCTGCTAGTCAAGCATTGTTGACTGCTTTAGTGGATACGCAAACACTTTGACCTGAAACAGCCGCTCACCTTTGACAACTTCCTCCTCTCTGCAGCCAGCTTGGCAAGGTCGTCCTTAAAAACTTGTAGAACTCTGTTTGCTTCCAGGCTTTTGCTCTCCAGCTGTGAGACGATAAAGGAAATAGGAATAGTTTTATGGTGCTGTTATTAGCGCATGCTAGTTCCCTTACCGCAAGCGAGGTCCTCCTCGAAGAAAGTGTCCGAGCTAGACTTCCCTCATTGGCATTACCTAGTCTGGATTCGGCTTCCTTGGAAACCACAATTATCTATTGATTTAGCATTTAAATTTGTAATTCTTTTAATCGAAAGCAACTTAGCCTAGAACTTCTGATTTTGTATATACCTTTTGATTATTTCCATCTTCTTTGGCAGCTTGTACATTTCTGTATGCCTGCATTTTTTTACTCTCAAACTGTTAAATGAATCGAAATTGTTGTATTTTGCGTATTTTGTTATGCACGGGACTTTCTTACCGGTAGTGAAAATCTTCTGGCAGGAACTTTGCTAACTTGATTTGCGCCCTTCACATAGAAACGCCCAGCGGTCGAGACCTCCGAAAGTGATCCGACTTCTTTGGGCTCGACGGGGATCTATTAAAAGAAAAATTATTTTCGACTTTTTTATAAAAGTAGTTTTAAATATGCGAAAGCATCAATTTTAGTCAAAAAAAAAAAAAAAAAATACAGGGCTTAAGAAATATTTTTCGTTGTAAAACAAACGTTTTTATGGCTATTACCTTTTCAGCTAATGGGATAACGTCGTTTTGGTTCTCTTTAGAAAATGCTTGTGGAGGCCTGCTTGCAGCCACTTTTTGCATCTGGTGAATAAACATAAATGGTGGCAATAAATAGAATCCTTACTGTCTTAAAAATCTTTGAAATGCAATTCTACTAACTGGTTTTTCATTCTTTGCCTTGGTAACTGGGTTACGTTCGGTCTTTGGGTTTTGTTTTATTTCTTTCGACTTGATGATGATCTATTTAATTTAAGAATTAAATAATAAGTGATAATACTTTTTTATTATTCAAATCGATTAATTTTTTTACTATACGAGATTAATGAAATAAATAATACCATATAGCTAGGCAAAAGCCCAAGACTTGCGGGAACATTTGCGTAAGCCTGTTCAACATTTCTCTACATACCTTGGGCGATGTTAATTTCATATCTGCGATATCGGGCGTATTAATTTCAAACTGTTCCCTAGCAGCTTCCAGTAGCATTGCTTTCAGTTTCCTCCTCCTCAGGTTGCGCTTTAACTGTTGAATAAACATCAATATTGATATTTTATCTTATCTTAACTTGCTCCTTACCAATCGTAAAGAAATTCTTTTAACTAGATTTCCCTCCTTGTCCTTGATAAGTATCATACGTTCTGACTTTCTTTTTCGTCGTACTTTTGTGGACTTTGTGGGACGAAGTAACAAAATGAAAGAAATGTTAAGGAAAATCCGAACATAGTTTTTATCTTTGATAATAAATAAATTGATGTCTTTCTATCGAATCTCGACTTTCTTACCGCTTGTGAAGATGCTCCTACTGTAGTTTTTTCAGCTGTAATTCCCTTCTTGGCGTTGTTTTCTGGTTTATGACTTTTCATAGATACGATTTCCTTTTTGATTCCTGTCCTAAGTCCAGCCGTTGGCTCTGATCCTATACCTTTATCCCCAACTATGGCCTTTTGAAATGCATTACAAAAGTTAGTTTCTGTTGCTATTGATATGCCGAATATTCTTACCGCTTGCGAATATGCCTCCCCTGGAATTTTCTTAGATGCGATTTCCTTCTTTGCATTCTTTCCTGGCTTATGACTTTTCTTAGGTACGCTTTCAGTTTTGGCATTGATTTCGGGCATAAAGTCAGCCTTTGGCTTTGATCCTATTTCCTTAGGCTCGACTGTAGACTATTGAAACATATTAAAAAAGATATAAAAGCAGATAAGCAAAGGGTTTTTATGCAAATCAATTAGTTTATGTAATCCTTTTCGGAATGCTGAAGATTTAAAACCCTTGTGACTAAATTATAATCCCCTCGCATAAAAAGCAACAATCATATAGCTTACACATGTTTCAAACGTTTACACATTGCTTTTGATTGTATAAAACTTGCCTTTTGGTTTATTGGAACATTTTTTTGGGCGTTGGTTACATTGGATGCAATCTCTTCCTTGGAAATCAATAGACTTTTGTTTGCCTCAGTCACATTGCTCTCAGACTGTTGAATAAGAATAAATATGTTTCTTCTTTAGCTCATTTTTACCGTTAGTGAAGTTGTGGTCGAGGGAACTGGACTAACTGAAGTTGTCTTTTTGGCATGCATCAATGACTGATGCAAATTACATACACTTACGCTTTGCGATATTGAGGATCTGGGCATCATGCTTGCAATCTCTTCCTTAGCAGTTGAAGAGGGTTTGCTAACTGTCACAAAACCTGGGCCTCGCTTTGGTTGAAGATCTTTGATCCCAAGGATGGGCTAATGGAAAATATAAGACTATGATAAAAGCAGATAACTTAATCTAGTTTGTTTTTACCTTTTGCGCAACTGGAAGAATGCGTCTTGGGATTGTGGGCATATCAAATGCATCTTTCTGGGCCACATCTGATTTCGGGTTAGTTTCCATTTTGAACAGACCAGCTGAGGATCGCTTTTGCGCAGCTGCCGTCATTTCAAAAAATCCAATTCCCATATTATTTTCTAGTTTCTTTATAAATGGTATGTTGGGTGGCGCTTCATTTTCCGGATGCTTTTGTTTCGAATTAATTAGTCTACAAACTTAAGCATTTTACTTGAGTCTATACTTACATTTGTCAGGTTCGGAGCGACAAGCTTTGGGGTGCTGGGTATATTGGTTGCAATTTTATGGGTTTCAGTTGGTTTTATATCTGACTCAGATTTTAATTGTGCATCGAGCAACGGTTTCTTGACAATAACCTCTGTTTTCTGTTCTACTTTTGTTGTTTGATCCACATTTTCCTGATTTATTTCCATTCTTTTTGCAAGTGTTTTCAGGTTTTGCACTTGATTTACATTTGCTTGTTGTGCTTCTTTTAGTTCTAACATTTTCCCAATTTCTTCTTTGTCCGCATTGTTACGTTCCTCTTTCGCATTGGATTCCCTCTTCTTCAGCGTAGGAACTTTTAAAGCTTCGGTTTTCTGTGAATTTGGTTTGTGATCCCCAAGTTTTCGAAACGATTCACTATTGTTTATATCCGTTTCCATTTTTCTTACAATCTCTTCCAGATTGGGCACTTTTTGCACCCTTTGTTGTTTTAGTGCCATCTTTTTCTCAGTTCTCCCCTTCTCAGCGTCTTCACTAGCTTCATCAGAGATAAGATTAGTTTGCACGCCTTTCTTCTTAACTTCAGGTACTTTCTCATCGGCGGAAACCTTTTCAGTATTGTTCTCGCTTCTCTGTTCCTTAATACTTTCAATTTGCTTTAGTTTTTTGATTTCCGGTTGCTTAACGAGCGGCTTTTGTTCTTTTTGTTTCTCCTTTGCATCCGATTTTCTTTTCTTTTGTGGTGGGTTTTCCAAAGTTTCTGTTTTTTGAAATTGTGGCTGTTGATCGTCAAGTTTCCTTTTCAATTCCTTATTATCCGGAATCATGTCATCTTTCCGTGCAACTTCGAGATTCACCCCTTTTTGCTGAGTTTCCGTGCTTATCTTCCTAGTTACAGGTTCTTTCTTCGTTGACGAAATATCTTCCGTATTGTTTTCGCATGCTCCTTTCCTATAGTTATCCAAATTATGTTTCTTATGTTCTTTTATATTCAGCTGTTGTTGTTCCTCTTTTCTTAAAGTTTCGCTCTCTTGCAACATTGGTTTCTGATCCCCCAGTTTTATACTTATATCTTCATTTTCCGTATTACTTTCTATTTTCTTGGCAATCGCTTCGAGACTCAAGGCTTGGTTAACATTTGGTTGTTGTGATTGATTTTTCTCTGCTTCGATTTCGTCCGTTTCCGTGGTTTTCTTTTTAGCTGCAGGTGCCTTCTTTTCGCCGGAAACCTTTTCGCTTCCCTCTTCCTTATACTTTGTTTTCTCTTTTTGTTTTTTAATTTTTGGTTGTTTAACAGGCGGCTTTTGTATTTTGTGTTTCTCCGCATCATATTTTATTTTCTTTAGTGGTGGATTTTCCAAAGTTTCCGTTTTCTGCACATTTGGTTTTTGATCATCAAGTTTCCTTTTCAGTTCCCTATTTTCCGGACTCATCTCTTTTTTCCTTTCAATCTCTTCGAGGTTCAACGCATCATTAGCGCTCGGTTGTTGTAGTTGTTTTTGTCCTAGCTCCATCTCAGTTTCTCCTTTCTCCGCGCTTTTATTAGCCTCATCAGGGATATGATTCATGTCCGTGCTTAACTTCTTGATATCGAGTGCTTGCTTTTCGTTGGAAACCTTTTCAGTATTGTTTTCGCGTCTCTCTTCCATTTTATTTTCTAAATTCTTTGTTTTCGATTGTTGTTTTACACTCGGTTGATGTTTCCGTTCCACTTTTGCATCAGGCTTTACTTTCATGTGGGGGGAATACTTTAAGGTATCGGTTGTTTCTAACTTATGTGTATGATCCTTAGGGTTTCTATTCAATTCACTATTTTTTAGATCGATTTCCATATTCCGTACAATTTCATCGAGGTTCGCCTCTATATGCTCTGCGTTTATTCTTGCAAGTTCTTCGAGCTTTGGCGCTTGTTCATAATTCGGTTGTTGTGCTTCTTTTTCTCCCCAGTTCTCAGTTTCTACTTTCTTTGCATTTCTATGTTTAACATCCGACAAAAGTCTAGTTTTTGCACTGATCTTCTCAATTTCCAGGTCCTGCTTGGCAGAGGAAAAATCTTCCGCATTGTTTTCGCATTGGCCTTTCATATATTTTTCCATTTTATTTTTGAGTTGTTGGTGTTTCCGTTCTTCCTTTGCATCAAATTCTTTTTTCTTTTGCGGAGAATCTTTTGAATGTTCGATTTTCTTTAACTTTGCTTTTTGATCCTCAAGTTTTCTACTCAATTCACTGTCTTCCTCATTCATATTCATTTTTCTTACAATCTCTTCGATATCCGGCATATGTTTAGCGCTCGGTCGTAAATTTTTCTCACTTTCTTTTTTCTCCGCTTCAGTTATTTTCCTTTCATCGGAAACCGTTTCAGTATTGTTTTCGCCTTTTTCTTCCATGATATTTCCCATACTCTTATTTGCTTGTTGTTCAACATTTGGGTGTTGTTGTTTCCGTTTCTCCTTGGGATCAGATTCTCTTTTCTTCTGCGGTGTCATTTTAAATGATTCTGTCTTTTGAAACATTGGCTTTTGATCCTTAAGTTTCCGATTCAGATCATTCTTATCCGGAATATTTTGCATTCTCCTAGCAAGTTGATCGAGTTCCGGCGCCTGCCCAATTGGTGGTTGTGTTTGTATTTCATTTGAATCTGTCTCATTAGGACTTTTGTCTGCCTTTTGACTACCTGCCGATATAGGTATCTCGGCTTCGTCTGGCTTTGCTTGGCTTTCAGTTTTTATCCCCGCATCTACAGGCATTATCTCTTTTTTGGACAGCAGCTGCATTTCTTTAGAAATATCTGTTTTCTTTTCAAACCTTTTAGTGATCGGTTGTTGTTTAACACTTGGTTGCTCTTTTTGTTCCTTTGAATCCGATTCTTTTCTGTCGACCTTTCTTGCAGTTGGATAACTCTCAATCGGAGCTTTCACAATTGTGTCTTGCTGCTCAAGTTTCCTTTTTATTTGTCTTTTATTAATTTCCTCCGGTTTTATTGCAGCTGACAGTTTTGCTTTTTTTCGATCCAAGTTATTCTCAGTTGTCCTTTTTGCCGCATTTTGTTTTGCTTCTGTTTCTAATCTTACCTCTGAAAACCTTTCCTCCTCTTTAGCTGGCAGCTGGAGGGTGGAAGCGCTTTTCTCATTATTTTCTTTGTCCAAGTGCATTATGTTTGGGACTTGTTTAACTTTAGTTTGATGAACGTTTTTTTCAGTTTCTCTCTTCTCTACATTTGCAGTTCTTTGTTTTTCTCCCACGGAATCTGGCCTCGGCACCTTTTGCCCACCTAGATTACTTTGCCCTTGCTCAATGGGAATCAACTCTATTCTGTTTTCTACCGGATCGTCATTCTTTCGATTGCTGCCCTGTTTTAGAGTTTGTTTAATTTTTGTATTGGACTTGGATCTTTTAATTCCTGTTTCTAATGACAGAGGTTGGTCATTTACCCGCTTCTTCCCATCAAGTGTTTGGTGATTGCTTTCATTTTCTAGAGGATTAGCACCTGGTTTTAACAAGGTTTGTCGATCAACTGGCTGTTGTGGATTATTAAAAACGTTATATTTATTGATCAGAAACTTTAAATTATCATCATCGATTTCTATCTTTTCCGCTTTCCGCTCGGGTAATTGGAATTCTACTTGTTTTTTCTGGGAATTGAATATTGAATATGCACTTTTATATAATAAAATTCCATTTTTATAAGTTTTATACCCTGAAATATATATTTACCACATGTGAAAGCGCTATATTATTAATATCTGGCATATCATTTTGTTTGGCTCCCAAGAATGTTTGCATTCCTTCATCTTCCTTCGTTGGTTCCTGCATCTGACTTTTGCAAGGAGGTTTCGAGGCTTTTGCATCGACTTGCTGCTGAAAAAGCTGTTGCTCATTGTTTTTACTTGCCAAGGGCTTCACAGTTTTATCGACATGTTGGTATTCTTGGTGTGTTCCTTGTTCTACCTGTAAACCATAATAATAATAATTAAATTATTCCACGTTCGAGCATTGGAATACCCTTACTCCATAATCAAATGGAAAGTTTGGTAAATTTCTCTTGGTCTCATAAGATGTTCGATAGTCTCTTACTTTCTCTTCCTTTCTTGTTACCTGCTGCTTCAGAAGAAGTTGGTGCGCAACCTGGGCTTCAAGATGTTGCTGATCATTGTATTTATGGGCTAGAAACTGCAAGCTTTTGTCATCAGCTTCCAGTTGTTCTATTATCTCCATGAATGGTTCAGGCTTTTCATATTTTCCCTGCAGATATCATAAACATGTAGTTTTATATATCATTCAATACTTTATTCTTACTTTCTGAGCAGCTGGAATTACAGGGTAGTTAGTGTTTGGTAAACTTCTTTGAGCCACGGGTTCATTATTCCTATCATTTTGTTTTGTTAGGGCTTGCCGATCGAATGACACTCGGTGAAGTTTATGTTCATTGTTCTGTTGATTTGCTTTCTGTTGGGTTGGTTTTTTCATGTTTGACTTGATATAAATAATATTTAAAATTATTCGCTTACCGCTTGAGCAGTCGAAATAAGACAACTGTTCAGGTCTGTCGCATTATTCTTGGTCATTTCTGCCGTTTGGTTAGAATTTTCTTCTTTTCTTGACTGCTCCACGTTTTCCTTGTCATTTTTCTTTTCAGAAGCCCGACGATCAGCTGTCTGATTTTGAAGTTTTTGTTCACTATTTTTGCTTGCCAAAGGCTTTAAATAGTTAGCATTGATTCCTTGGCTCTCCGTGTTCCCATAGGATAATTTGCCCCTATCTCCACTTGCCTGTTATTACAAAACATTAAAAAATAAGTTTTATCTAGATATATGTGTGCATAATCTGTGTGTCCTGACTGATTGAATTAGATAGCTGAGTTTTTTTTTACCTTTAGTTACCTTATGTGGTGCAGGTGCACGTTAAGAAAAGAAAAATTCCACCCGCAACCGTGGAAAATTGGTTGAAAATGATTGTAAGAAACTAGTTTTGCTTACCATTCGATCGGATTGAAACTGAGATTCAAAGATTTTTGTACTGATTTAGTTGAGACGTCTTTCAATTTTTTTCTGAAAAACTTCAAACTCATTTTTAAAGATCTATGTACAAAATTTTGGCTTGGTAGTAAAATTAAGAACAAAGCTTAAAGTATCAGAATTTTTCTGTTTTACTTGCGGGAAATGGACGGAAAGCTGATTTCCTAAACTTAAAGGAATAACTTTGCCGGGGAAATAAATAAATGAGTTTTATAAACTTTAATGTACCTCTTTTTTAACTGGAATAACAGCGCTATTAACTTCCGATAAACTTTTCTTAACGTCTTCTTTCTTTGAGTCAAGTTTCTTTATAACAACATTTTGTTTAGTTGAAAGCTGTCGATTCGCCTGCTCCGCAAGATTTTGTTGTTCAATTGTTGTGCTTTGCACAGCTTTTAAATCAAGTGTTTCTTGTAGTTCTGTTTCACGTTGGGTTTGTTCAAATTGCTTTTGTATTACCTGGAATAAAAGATATTCAGCGCGCGTGAGTACAAAAAGGTATTATTTTAGCTTATAAAGCTGGAATAAAATGGCTTTTAGTGCCCGTTATATTTTTCCTGACCTCAGTCGAATTTCCTGACTCAATTCCTGCTCGTTTCCTTATCTTGACATTTTGATTTGCCAAATGTTGTTGATTATCCTCAAGTTCTTTTGGATCAATATTGTTATTTGACAAGCTCTTTAAATTTGTAGTGTTTTTTTTTGTTTTCTCATGACAGGGTTTGATTTGCTCTGGCGATACCTGGAAAACATAATAATAATTGATGTTGTATATAATTAATTAATTCAGTGTTCGAGCTGTCGAATATCCGTACCTCTTGAGCTATTGGAATAGTAGATTTTAGAATTGGGTTGGTTTTCTTGATCGCATGAGACATGTCTTTTTCTTTTCCTTTTGGCTTGGCTTCTTGCTTCTTCTTCACTTCAGCGTCCTTTGCGACGTTAGGTGAGTGCAGCTCCTCACTTTCAATATTACTTTCGTCTATTTTATTTACTATCTGGGTTTTGTTATCTATTGGGGTTACGTTTAGATGTTCCCTAGATATAAGTTTATCATTAGATTTATCTCCTGATGTTTCTTTGGTATTGTCAGCTTTATCTTTTATTTCTTTCGCTTTTTTGCTCAGGGTTTCTTTTGTATTTTGTTTTTCAAGTTCTTTTTTTTTGGTTTTATTTTTAGCTTTTTTCATAGCCTTTTTTGCCTTTTTTGCCAGATCCTTATCTGCATCTTTGTCAATATATTTCTCTCGCTCTTTTGCTTTCTTTTCTTTTTTAGCTTTTTTTTTAAGTTTTTCTTCCTCCGTTTTTTCTTTTTTATGTTTGGCTCTTTTAGCTTTTTTAACCTTTTTTGCTTTTGTATCGTGCTCCTTTTTGGTGGTCAGCGGAGCTTCAATCGCAACCTTCTTATCCAAAGTCTTCTCATTCCCTTTTATTATTGGCATTTGAATTGACTTCGGCTGCTGAGGCTGTGTTTGCTCTATGTTTTTATTATCCATCAATTTCAATTTCTTACTTTCAGTATTGTTTTTTTCACCTTCCTGTGAAGACGATTAAAAGAATATGAATACTTATTGGTTATACAAAACTGTCTTTGATAGACTTATAAATGTATTCCTACCTTTTGATCATCCACTTTTAATTTTCTCTTAAGATCCGATTTAATGGTATCATCTTTTTTGGCTTCAGCGGCTACTGCTTTCCGTTCCATCTTGACAGTTTGTTGCTCATCCTTTTCCATTTGAGATTGCTTGGATTTCTCATTGAAGGATATATCTTTCTGCTCTTCTATTTGTGGATTTATTTCTTGCTGGTTTTTATTATCAACGGATATTAATTTATCATCGATTTCATTCTTCACTGTTTGCTTGCAAGCTGAAATATCTTTTATCTGTTTTTCTAGTAACTTTGGGTAGGTGTCAGACTTTAAAGGTTCAAATAATTGCTTTTGATTTTGTGTATCTGAGATAAAGCCACTTAAAGAATTCGATTTTGTGGTAGTATCTGATGTTGCTTTCCCAATTGCTTTCACATTTGCCGACAAAGACTGATCCTCCTTCTCGGTGTCTGTAATTTCCGACGCTTTTGGTGATTGAAGCTTTTCTACAGGGATATCATCTGAAGATTTCAATTTATTATCTTTTGCTTTCTGCTGCTTAGTTTTCGGCTGACTTCCATTTGCTAACCCTGGTTTCTTTTGCTTTCCCTGTAAAATGCGATATAAAACATTTTTATATATTTCTAAATTGTTTACCTCCTTACCTTTTGAGCATTCAAGTTTGTTCTTTTTTTGTCATTAGTTTTTGAATTTTCTTCCGTTCTGGGAAGTGGTATCTTTTCTGTCCCGTTCATCTTTAAAGGATTTTCATGTTGTTCATTATGGCTTTTCTATGGTATGACAAATATTTTGAGCATTGTATTACATTATGGTGCTACAATTGTGGATCGTATATACCTGTTTAATCGTTGAAATAACATCCGTATCAGTTCCTAATACCGTTGTATTAGACTCATTTGATATTTGCTCTCTTCTTGTATTTGGGATGGCATCTTCAACAGAAGGGGAGGGTAGAGTTGCAGACTGAATAGTTTCTTGCACACCCCTGACGTCTGTGATTATCCTTAAGGCTTCTTTAGCTTCCTGTTGTTGGAGAAGGTTCGTTTTCCAAATTCAATTCAATTCTAGTTAGGTTATTGTTAATTTGTTAGGGGAGTTGGGCTGTAAAAGAAGCTTACCTCTTGAGAGACAACGATAGTATCGGAAATACTTGTTTCTGCCTTTATCGATTTTAAAGCGATATCTTTCGCTTCTGAATCCTTTTTTAAAGACGGACTCTGCATACTTTCGTCTTGCTTGGCCTTGAGGTCTTTGCTAACCATGGCTTCTCGTTTTGAGAGAAGCTTTTTTTTATCTTTAACCTCTTGGGACTCTGGGATAACACTTTTATCAGAGCACGCTTCTGTTTTCTTATCCGAGTTTTCTTTTTCCTGTTCGACTTTACTCCTTTCTCCTGTTACCTTTGACTTTTCATCTGATAAACATCGCTTATCACTTATCTCATTGCTGTTTGTATCCTTTGTAAGACTCGGGCAGGGTGGATTTTCAACGTGCTCCTTTTGGTCTTTTATAACCGATTCTTTATTATTCTGTTGTTGAGAAAATGATTGTTCTTATTATTAGAAGGGCCAGAAGGGCACTCTTACTTGTTTTTTGCTTTTATTTGAAAGGGTTTATTTAATTATTTACCTCTTGAGAGCGTTGCATAACTTTCTTAGACTTATCTGATTTCTCCATTTCCTTTTTCTTTTCCTTCTTATCTTTCTTTTTAGCTTTTTTATTTGCTTTTTTCATAACTCTTTTTTTGTCCTTTTTCTCTTTTTTCATCTCTTTCTTCTTCTCCTTAATCTTTGATAAGCCATCTAGCAAGCCTCCAATGTGACTTGTCTCCTTCTTGTCTGCATCCGTCTTAAGGGTCGGGCAAGGTTTATTTTCATCCTCATGGTCCTGTGTTACCTGCTGTTGAGGAGCTTTATCTTTAACTTTCTCTTCTTTAATTTCAGATGTGTACAATTTTGCAACATGGACTTCGTTTGTTTCATATTGTTTTTTCTGTCATGAGCAAAATTGATAAATTAAATCACAATCAGTGTTTAAATTAATTAATTTGCCGCTCCTTACCTCTTGAGAACTTAGGATAATATCTTTCCCAGAGTTAAGCTCACTTTTTTTTGCCTTTTCAGAGTTTTCATGTTCCTTTATCCCCTCTTTCTTTTCGTCTATCTTTTGTTCTGTTGCATTCAATGTGTCATCTGTTAAACCTTGTTTTACATTTGTCTCTTTATTGCCTGCTTCCTTCTTAATAACCAAGCAAGGCTTACTTTTGCCAACCTGCTCTTCTGTTGCCGCTGATTTCCCTTCCTGTTTTTGGGGAACCTTTTGTTTTTCGTGCTTGTTTTCAGGCTGGTTAAACATTGTAACTTTGACTATGAACTGCTCAGTCGACTTTTTCGAAGACTCGGAACTAAACAGTTTTTTCTGTCATGAAAAATGATTGTGTACAATTAATGATGTTCGGCTACATTTTTAAGCATCCTTACCTCTTGGGTGCTTGGGAAAACCACTTTTTTCGAGCATAGTACAGCTTTGGCTTTATTCGACTCTTCCTTTCCTCTTTTCTCTTCTGGCTCTTCAACTGCCTTTTGTTCCATCATTTTTGTTTTGTCATCGGAAAGAGCAGCTTTGTCGCTCGTTTCTTTCTCGTCTGCATTCTCTTTGAGAGCCAGGTAGGGCATATTTTTGTCAAACTTCGTTGGATCTTCTGCTGCTAATGAATTGTCTTCCTGTTGTCGGGGAACCTTTTGTGTTTTGTCTCTATTTTCGGAATAGTCAAGCATTTTACCCTCGTTCTGCTCAGTTTTTTGTGACGACTCAAAATCACATAGGTTTTTCTGTCGTTAATAATAATGATATATTTAATAGCAATCAATGTTTAGATTTATTTATTTGTGGCACCAATTTCAAGCATCCTTACCTCTTGAGAACTTGGCATAACCACTTTTTCCGAGTTTAGTACAGATCTTTTGCCTTTATTCGACTTTTCTTTTTCTTTTTTCTCTTCGTTCATCTTCGATTTGTGTTCTGATGAAGCTTCTTGGTCGCTTGTATCTTTCTTGTCTGCATCCTTTTTGTCAAGCTCTCTTGGTTCTTCTTTTACTGATGATATGTTTTTGTGCTGTTGAGGAACCATTTGTTTAACACCTTTATTTTCAGAAGACTTTACATTTGTATCATCGATTATCTTCTGGTCAGTTGTCTTCTGTGTCGTATCTGATTCACAAGGTTTTTTCTGTTAATGAATATATTAGGAGATTTTTCTGTGCTTAATTAATAAGACATTTATTATAAAATATGCTTACCTCTATTTTAGAGCCTGCTTCAATTTTCGAAGTCTTATCTGCTGTTTCCTTTTCTTTTTTCTTGTTCTTCTCGTGCTTCTTTTTTTCTTTCTTTTCTTTTTTTTGTCTCTTCTTTTCTTTCTTCCGTTCTTTTTTCTCTTTCTTCATTTCTTTCTTGACTTTTTTCTTCTCCTTAGACTTTGATAAATCTTTATTGTCGCTTGTCTCTTTCTTGTCTTCATCATTTACTTGAGGCGGGCAAGGCTTTGTTTTATCGAGCTCCTCCAAGGATTGTGATAATTTATCTTCCTGTTGCTGAGGAAAGTTTTGTTTTTCATCTTTTTTTTCACAAGCGTTTTCATTTTTACCATCGACTATGTTCTGCACACTTGTCTTTGGTGGTGGATCAGATTCGCAAAGTTTTTTCTGTTATAAACAACGAAGATTTATTAGCTATCAGTGTAAGACGTTGTTGACTTTTGACTTTATTGAAAAAATCCTTACCTCTTCAGAACGTGGAACAATATTTTTTTCAGAATGTTTTAAAGATATTTCACTTTCTTTTTGCACTTTCTTTGCATCAAATGTTTTATTTTCATTCAGCTTTGGCGTAACTTTTTGTTTTTTATCAAGTTTTTCAGGTTCTGCATTTTTACCATCGGCTATGTCTTGCTCAGTTGTCTTTGGTGACGGATCTGATTTAAATTTTATTACCTGTGATGGACAATACCGAATATTTTGTATGAGCATTTTCTCTGAGTGTAGTAAAGAAATCTTGGTGCCTTGCGAAATTTCCCATACTTTTTTCTGCTCTTTGATAACAGCTGCATTCTTTTCAGTAGTCTTTGGCCTAATATGTGATGTAAGTTCGTTGACACTAGGCTCTTTCTTGTCTGAATTCTTTGTAATGGACGGGGAAGGTTTTTGTTCGATCTGCTTGTGAACTTTCGTTGATGATGAATAGGTTTGTTGGGTTTCTTGAGGCTGAAGAACGTTTGATTCTATATCAGGCTTTACGGGTTGTACATTTTTACCATCGACTATGTTCTGTAATGAAAAATATCTGTAATAAACTGTTGTGTCCTGACTGACCGATTGGTAACCAATGCAGAGCTCGAACCGCAGGTGCTAGGAAGCTAACATCTAGACTTCATTTTTTTACGTTTAATTTGAAAGATTCTTACCTCTAGAGATTTGGGGTTAACATCCTTACAATCTTGTACAGACTTCTTGGTATTATTTGAATTCTCCCTTTTCTGTTCAATTGCATCATCTTTCATTTGCTCCGCTGTCTTTGATTTATCATCTGATAAAGGTAGTTTAACACTCATCTTATTTTCGTCTGCATCCTTTTTGAGGGCTGTTATCACTACTTTATTCTCCTGTAATTGAAAGTTTTTGTTGTTCATTATTAGACGGGCTTAACTTTCTATATTCTATGCAGAATAATGTAATTTTCTTTTGCAATTGAAAATTTATTTGTACGTTTATCTTTTTAAGAGATCCTTCTATTTTTTTTTAGATTCTTGTGTGTTCTTGTGTATGTGTGTTTCTGTGTAGGTGTATAGGTAGGTTGTTACGTCAGCTCGCCGCAGCGACAGAGTATTTATAAGTCGGCTTTTTCTCCACTTAATTACCCTCACTTGTTTCTTGCTGCTTTTAGGCCTTATTGTAAAAGAAGCTTACCTCTTGAGAGCTGGGCACAAATTTCATGGGCTTATCTAATTTTTCTTTTTCTTTTTTCTTGTCCTTATCTTTCTTTTTGTCTTTCTTCTTGTCTTTCTTCTTATCTTTCTTCTTTTCTTTATTTTTTGAAACGCCGTCTGATAGTTCGCCTTTGTCGATCGTCTCTTTCTTATCTGCATCCATTTCAGGAGTCGGGCAGGTCTTTATTTCGTCAAGCTGAGTGGGATCTTTGTGTTTCTCATCTTTTTTATTAGAAGGGTTTGAACTATCAACTTTGTTTTGCTCAGTTGTCTTTGGTGACGGATCTGATTTCTGTAAGAGATTACAACGATTAATATAAAAGCTGTCAATATAAACAGTTAATGTTTTTGGCTTCATCTACCTCTTGAGAACCTGGAGCAACACATTTTAGAGAGGGTAGTAAAGATATCTTGGTGTCTTGCTCTTTATATTTTGGTGATTGATCTTCTTGTAGACTGGTAGACTCAGATGTTTTTGGTGGCAGATCTGTTCCACACAACTTTTTCTGTAATTGACAATAATAATTAGCTAGCAGGGCATAAATGGTTATGCCGAATAAGATCCTTACCTCTTCAGAATCTGGAACAATAATATTTTCAGAGTGAAGTAAATTTATGTTGGTCCTTTGCGAAATTTCCCTTTCTTTTTCCTGCTCTTTTGTATCAACAATTTGTGCTTGCATTTCTAATATGTGGACTGCCACACCTCGCTTATCAGCTGGCATTTTATTGCATGCATCCTTCTTGAAGGTCGAATAAGATCTGTTTTCATCTAGTTCCTCCCTGTCTTCGGTTAGCGATGACATATCTTGCTGTAGGTCAGAAATTTTTAGATCGTTATTCCTCGAACGGCTTGACTGTTCATCTTCGGCAATTTTTCGAACAATTGTCTTCTGTAATTCACGTCGTGTTTGATTTAATTGATACTATTCAAAAAATGTTTATAATTATTGATACTAGTCAAGTGTGTTTATATGAACTTTACCTTTTGAGAGCCTGGTATCAAATCTGTTTTAGAGCTTGGTAATATGATCTCTGATTTATCTGAATTTTCCATTGCATTTCTATTTTCTTTTCTTTCAACTTGCTTCATGTCTCTCTTTATTTTTATTTGGTCATCAGATGAACTTTGGTTGAGAGTTGTATCTTTCTTGGCTGCATCCTTTTTAATAGTCGAACTAGGCCTATTTTTGACTAGTTCTTTGGGATCTTTTCTTGCCAGTGACGCATTGTCGTATTGTAGAGGAGGTTTTTGTTTCTCATCTTGGTTTCTGCAAGGCTTTGACTTTCTAAAATCGACTATGTTCTGCTCAGATGTCTTCAGTAGCGGATCTGACTCTAATAGGTTCTTCTGTAATATACAATTAGAAATAATTTATTTTCTTTCATTTTAGTAATTCTCTCGGTCATACTTAAAACAATCTTACCTCTTGAGAGCTTGGAACAAAAATTTGTTGGCTCTTGGTCTTATGCGAAATATCTTTTTCTTTTCTCGCTTCTTTCATATGCTGTGTCACCTTTTCTTTGCTCCTTGGCATATCATTTGTTAAAATCTCTTTACAACTTGGCTCATGTTTGCGAACATCCTTTTTAAAAGACGGGGAGAGCTTATTTTTGCTCAGCTCCTTGGGGACTTTTCTTAACGAAGATTGATGCTCCACTTTTTGTTTCTCATCTTTATTAATAAAAGGGTTTAGATTTCTACCATCGACTATGTTTTGCTCCGCAGGCTTCAGTGATTGATCTGACTCAAATGGCTTTTTCTGTAAGAGACAATAACGATTGTAATTAGGGTAAGCATTTATAAAGTCTTGGTTGTACTAAATAATATCCTTACGTCTTCAAATGCTGAAACAAGCATTTTGTCAGAGTGCAGTAAACTTATGTTGGTTTTTTGCGAAATTTCCCTATCTTTTTCCAGTTTTTTTGTTTCATCGATTTTCTTTTCTTTTGTTTTTAATATGTCGCCTGTTTCTCCCCGCTTATCAGCTGACACTGTCTTGCCTGTGTCCTTCTTGAAGGTCGGGCAAGGCATATTATCATCGATCTTTTCACAGTCTTTGATAAGCGATGATTTATCCGGCCGTAATTGCGGAAGTTTTTGATCGTTACTTCTAGAATGGCTTGACTGTTTTTCATGAGCAGTTTTTCGCACAATTGCCTTCTGAAATTCAGATCGTTCTTTCTGTAATTGATTGCAAACAGAATATATTTTTTTTTTATATTTTTGATAATAGTCGACTAATTTAATTATATATTTTTTTAAGAGCATACCTCTTGAGCGCCAGTTATGATGTTGACAGTCCTTTCAGATTTTTCCCTTTCATTTGTATTATGTTGTCTCGGATCTTCCTTTATTTTGATCTTTAGTTGATCATCTGATGAGCTTCGCTTGAGAGTTTTTTCTTTTTTATCTATATCTATTTTAAAAGTGGGACAAGACCTATTTTTAACTAGAACCTTTGGATCTTTTTTTATCCATGTTTGGTGTTGTTGAGAAGGTATTTGAATGTCATCTGTGTTTTTAAAGGGGTTGAACTTTTGAATCTCGGCCGTATTCTGCTCAAATGTCTTCAGTAACACGTCTGATTTAAATAGCTTTTGCTTTGATAAATAATTATAAAATGATTAACATTAACATTAAATGTTTTTGCACTTAATTTCAAGAGATGCTTACCTCTTGTGAAGCTGGAATAACATCTTTCTGTAGTTGAGGATGTTTGTGTTTCATATATTTAGAATGGCTAAGCTTCGTATCAACGACACTTTTTCGCTGAGTCGTCCTCTGTAGCTCACCCAGTTTTTTCTGCAAATGAACATATTACAAACTGGGATAATCTTTTTATTTTATTTTTTTTTTTTACCTCTTGACCACCATTGATCACATCTACTTCAGAGCCTGGCACTATGTTCATCGGGTGCGTTGGTATTTCCATTTCTCTTTTAATGTTGGTATTCTTGGCGTCGGACTTCTCTTTTATATTTGATTTGTCATTCTTGTTGCTTTCATCTTTTTTGTCTATATCCTTTTTAACAGTCACGCAAGGCCTTTGTTTGCCAAGTTCCTTGGGATCCTTCGATACCGATGCTTTATCTTCCTTTTGCTTAGGCATTTTCTCCTGTCTGTCCTTAGTCTTAAAAGGATTTGAAATTTTACTATCGACCATGCCTTGCTCGGTTGACTTTTGTACCGGATAAGATGCATTTAGTTTTTTCTGTGAGAGACAATTACGACTAGCTTATAAGAGATCGGGGTAAACTTTTATTAATTTGTAAAAAATATGCTTACCACTTCAGACCTAGGAACAATTATTTGTTCAGATTGTAGTGAAGATATGTGGGTCGTATGGGAAATTTCTCTTTCCTGATCTTTTTTATAATTTAGCGTCTTATCTGATAAACATTTATTGTCACTTGATTCCTTTGCATCTGCACCCTTTTTAAAAGTCAGGCAAGGCTCATTTCAATAAGTCCTTGCAGAGTAGATTGTTTAAAATTCTTACCTGTAGTAAGCCTGGAACAATATGTTTTTCAGTGTGTGGTACAATTTTCTTATCAATTGAGGGTTCAGATTCATTGGCTATTTTCTGGACCTTTTTCTTAAATGTCATATTTTTGAGCGTTGTTGATATGGCTTCTGAAAAAAGTCCTTTGTCAATGACTTTTTTGTCTGCGTAGAACGGTGAATGTTTATTTTTATCAAGCTTCATAGGGTCTTCAGCTACAGATGCTTTCCGTTGGTCGAAAGGGGTTTGTTTGACATCACTGTTTTCAAAAGGCTTTAGCTTTGCATCCTCATCGGCCGTGTTTTGTCCAATTGTCTGCTGAAATCGATTGGGTGCTACCTTTTTTCCCTGTTAAAGACCATAACAAGGTATAATTTAAGGTTATTCTTTATGAATTGTTAATAGGAAATAATTAAAATTTAAAATCATGGTAATAACTTTATACATCGCGTATTACCTTATGAGCATCAAAGTTTACTCCGCATTTCGATAAGTCTTTAGCGGCCCTATCCGTTGTGGGGTTTCTTTCTTTGCTTACAGACATTTTCCTAATAGTTGGCCCTTTCTTCTTTGAAACAGTTTTTGGTTGTTGTTGCTGAGATTTCTCGACTACGGATTGTTGTTTATCCAATTGCTTTTCAAGTTCTTTCCGCTCAGCATTCAGCTCTCCATCTTGTCTTTCGTGTAGCTATTGAATATATGTTGACATAATTTATTAATATAAAACAAATATCTTCCGTACGCCGAATATCATAGCTTAAAAATGAGACACCAGTTTGCCTATTATCTTATGCTATACAAGGATATAAGAAAAGGTATGTTTTAAAAGAGTATAAAGTAGTGCATTCACCTTTTGGGCTTTCACGATTCCTTTGGCTTTAAGGCCGACTGTATCGGATGCATCCTGATTGGTCTTTTCCCTTGATGCCTTTTCTATCTTCGTATAAGATTGTGTTTTGGCTATATCGTCTTTCGCATTTAAAGCAAGTTCCTTTTTAAGTTGCTGCTGCTGTATATCAATTGAGTCCTTATTGTCCTTCTTAAAAACGGTCCTTTTTTTTTGGGGCACATTTTTCTGAAGTCCTTCTTCGAGCCTTTTCTTTTCCAAGGACATTAATGTATTGTCGATTTCTTTTTGCATTGTTTTATTTGCAGCTACATTATCATCTTGTCTTTCTTGCAACTTCGGCAGCTCGCCAGATTTTAAGTTGGCAACCGGTTCCTTTTGTTTTTCCTGTGATAAACGATTAAAAATTAAGAGTAAAGTATATCAATATGGCATATAATGGGACATAATTGTATATTTATCTTTACATTTCGAGAATCCACGCTTATTTTGCGAGGCCTATTCGACGACTTCTTAGTAAATACAGACGTATCAATTGCCTCATCGAAGGACTTAAATTTCTTAGCAGTATCAATTTTCTTCTCGGTTTTCTGCCGGTTTGCACCATCCTCCTGTGGTTTTAATTGACATTTGGGCGTTTCATCAGATGTTAAATTGGCATTAAACAGTTCTCTCTTTGCAATTGACTTAGTTTCTTGCTCTTTACTAATATTTGGTAATGCTTTAGCAACTTTTGTATCATCGAACACTTTCTTAACTTCTTTCAATTTTCTTTGATCTTCAAGCTTCTGTTGGGCTTCTAGAATTTGGGTACTTCTTTCTCCGACTCTTACTTTGATGTCCTTTTGTTTCTCTTTCTGTCGGCTCTTAGTTTCCTTTTTAGTTAAGTTGGCTTTTTCTTCCTCCAACAGATCTTCTTTAGAATTTATTGATATCTTTGCTTTAGCTTTAGTAACATCTGATAATGTTTTTTTAGTAGTTGTATCTATAACTTTCCCAGTTTTAGTATTGGACTTCGTTGTTTGTTTATTACTCAATTGTTTTGAAGATGCCAACACTCTGTTCTCCGAGATCTTCTTTACAGGATCTTTGATTGGCGGAGTTTGTTTGGCATTTTGCGGCTGTGGGTTTATTTGTTCCTCGCTTTTATTATCCATTATTGTCAATTTCTTACAATCAGGCTCCTTCAGCTCCGTTGGTTTTTTCTGGGACTAACGAAAAATAATGATTAATATATGTACATACGTTTGGTTAACAGGCAAATATATAAATGAACTAATTCTTACTCTCTGAGCATCCAAGCTTAATTGCCTTTTTATGCCAACTTTTTTTGTATTATCCTTACTGGCCCCGACGGACGTTGCTTTGACTTCCTTCTTAGTAACGGATGCTTTATCCAAAGCTCTTTTCTCGTTAGAAACATTTTGCTCTTGAGACGGCTGACATTCTAGATTGAGCTTATCGTCAGATTCTTTCTGCTCTGTTGTTCCTCCTCGTTGGTTTTCTTGCGATTTTAGTTTTTCCCCAGTTTTTGAATTGGCATCTCGTTTCTTTTATTTTTTGCCGGATAGAGAAGCGCAATTTTATTAGTGAATACATTTTGTTAATATAAAAGCTTGTCATAAAAAAGAAATTAATAAAAAAAGAAGTTAATATTTACCCTCACTTCCAATTTTACATTTCTTTTTGAACCCGAGGCATTGATAAAAGTTTCTTTTGTTGGGTTTCCCTCAATTTTGGTACATTCTTTGCTTTCTATTGCATTTCGTTCTTTTAATGCACTTTCCCACCGGCGCGACTGAGCTTTCGCTTTCTTCCCGGTATCCCCTATTTCAATCGCCTGATGTTGTGGGGTTTCTTTAACGCTTTTCACATCTTTCGGCTTTATTTTGTCGTCGGTATCTTTCTTGTCGGTTTTCTTACGAGTTGCTTTGTCTTCACCTTTTTCTTGCGCATTTGCCTTTTGATTGCCATGTTTTCTTTCATGTTCCTGTGACTGCAAGAAAAAAACTTTTTATTTTTGTTTTTCCCTTTTGGTGGTTCTGTTCCTTAGTTAGTGGACCTTCAAAAGCCACACAGCGTAGTTAATTAATTAATTAATAACAAATTAGAACTTTGGGTTGTACGTTGTTTTAGCTCTGACAGCATTCGAGAAGTCGATCTACGAATGGAACACAAACTTAATTTGCCAAAAACATGGATGCCACTGTGCAGTCTCGTTCCCGTCCAAATTTTAAAAATACCCATGCACAAGACATACCCTGCACTTTTTTGTTCATCAAATCAGCACAAATGCACCAACCTTGATTACCTTATTTTCTGGACAAGTATCCATCTTTTTTTCCGCTGTGCTCGAACCAATGCACGAGGATACCTGACTATCCGGTACTGGACTGTCGGCATTCTCTGCCATTCTTCAATGTATTTAACTCTATACCTTTTGCGCACTTCTTCACATGTTCACTTTACACTTAGTTAGACATTAACTTATAATATACACGGTTGAAAACTTTTATGGCAAAAAAAATAGCGGGCGCTTTAGAATTTAATGACACATTCCAATTCGCATGTGATGCGAGACAAATTGACTGGAAAAGTGTTGGGTAACTCGATGTCACTTGCTTAGAGCTTGCAGTTGCAGCTTGGCATTAAGTGTGGGATAACTCGATAACGATTAATAGGTTATATCGATCAACAGTCACTAAGTGTAGGACAATAACAAAATAATTTGGGCCGTGACCAGCACTCAAAATAATACTTTTTGCCAAAAAAAAACGGACGACAGGATTGAAGAGCGGTGCGATCAGTGTTAAATACGAGCTACATATATAGCTAGCTATACCAGACATATCAGTTGATCATACGTATACGAAGTAATAACATTAAGCGAAATGAAAACAATGCACCGGAATAGCATGGATACATATACATAAAAACATACATGTACATATACATATGTACATATGTATTATAATATGTCGCCACAGGCAAGTACAAATTTGTGTGCATGTGCTTATTTATATATCATATTCAACATCTTTGTGAATGGAGCACTTAATTTAAGCACCCATTCAAACGGAAGCCGAATATAAACAACAATTTGTACACGCAAAGGACTCGTAATGCACATTCTGTTCGATCCATGTGGGGTTCGATGCCAATGTCGGGCCGGGCCGAGAACAAATTGACAAACGCTGGTGATTAATCTTGAACACCGTAGAAATTCCATGCAAAATAGCAAAAAATTTGCGCAATGCTGTCCCACGGTCCTCAGTCCTGCGTCCTGTGTTAATGGCTGATGGGCTGGCTGACATCGGTGGCGTGTATTTAGGGAAATGTGGTGGCAGCCAACAAAAAGAACAACAAACAGCCAGAACAACAGCTAGAACCGAACAATGGGTGGGAATAACAGCAACAACAGCGAACTACAACAACAATGACATCAATAGGCGCAATTGAAACAAGTGTTGTCACGCCGCTAACTGCGACGGCGACGTTGACGTTGACGGCGACTGCGACTGCGACTGCGACGCTGTTGTCCTGGCCTAATGGTTGACAAGCAGCGGTCAGTAAAACCCATTGCTTCGTTTTTATTACCCTTCCCAGCGGAATGGATTATTGAGAATTATTAGAAGGCTTCGATTCATTTCATTTCTGGTAAGATATAATATTTTTAAAAGCATCTCAGATATTTAAGTTATCTTGTATTCATTTTAATTTATGGTATAAAATCAATGCCGAATGTTGTCAAATTTCTATCAACAGTCGTTGCCCAGTCTAAGGAAGGGTATTCACACTTTGCATTCGATTTTGCTTATTATTGTCTGCGCCTTTTTGACCTATATAGACGCGTATAGTTGCGCCTGACTTGGCACAATTGACAGCCGGAGAGGGCGGTTTGGAGGGAGGATGGGGCTCGCTCAGGAGTGAAGGACTATTCACAGGGCCATGCTTGGTTGCGCACTGAACTGCTGTTTGTTGTTATTGTTGTTTGTGTTGCTGTTGTTGTCACTGCAATTATACAAATTAATTTCCAGACAAAAGCGTGCAGATTGTTTTTCGAAGCCCCTTGTTTGGTCGTGGGCGTGGCTGCAATGGAAACCAGTCTGATATATCAGACAGCAAACAGAATGGAAAGACAAAGAGACAACAGGGCAACACTATCGTTCCATGGCCATTGATGGAGGATACCATCTTCTTCTTCTTTAAATAGCCAGCCATTCACAATACAGGCGGATCTGCAACTGAGAAATTGCCATTTGCAATTTACCATTTGTAGCTGCAGCTGCAGCTAATACCGCACCGCAGGCGGTTGCCAAGCCATGGAATGTGGCGTCATCCTAAGCAGGATTTCCCATGGCTAACATCGCTGGCATCCCAAGCACACTTTCTCCCCCATTCGTTTCACTCAGGGCTGCTTGAAATGCTTTTTTTTTTCATTTCTTGTTTTTTATTTTTTTTTCGAATGCAATCATACTGCATTACCCTTCAGCTCGTCATCGTCCACGCAACGCGTTTAAGCTCTGCAATTGCCTTCGGATATGTTTATCTTTTAAAGTAACACTTCCCAACTACTGCTGTACTTTAACAGCTGTCAATTAACAGCACTCGCATTAACATTTTGAATACTGTTAACAAGACTGGACTGGCCGCCGCTGCTGTGAATCGAGTTTTCAGTAATTGTGGAGAATGGAGATTGCCTTAATTAGCTTAGCTTTTGTCAGTTACTTTTAGTTGACAAGAAGTTAATTGAATTTTTAACACACATAAGCAGCTTGATAAAGTTTGGCATGAAGGTCAACGAACAGCAAAGTTTCCTAAGGTTAGCTAAGGCCTTAAGGTTTTATACAAATTCTCATACACCTGTGACATTTTCCTAAAAAATAATTAATTAATAACATTTATTTTATTCAAACTAATTCGATTGAAATGATTATAAATTTTCGTATCGTTCAAATGGCTTATATCAAGAGCTTTATTAATGGGTCCCACTGTTTGGCTCGCAAATTTTGCCAACGGTGCAGTGTTTGGCCTGGTTCGTTTTTCTGTTTTTCGTTGGTTTTTTTTTTTGTTTTTTTTTTCCTTTTTCTTTTGCTGTTCTCACGCAGCAGCCGCCATCAAGGCGCGGAAATTGGGCAGTCAGCCAGGGCCAGCCAACGTATCCATGCGTTGCATCAAGACTCGGGCCTGGCTTTTCGCTTTCAAATGCCTATGCAACAATGGGGCAGGAGTTTGGCGCGTTAGTGAGTGGCAGCGGGGCAGAGGAGGTGCGTTTTTGCAAGTGGTTTGATTTGTGATTTTGGCATTCTTGTGTATGTCGCTAGCTGCTTAAATTTGAGCTGGCTTTCGATTTTGTGGGTCGCACAATTTATGCGCACTTTACGCGTTGCCCAAGTCGTGACTTGGACTCGGAGAGTGGAGCATGGAACATTAGTTCATGCAGCATGAAGTTGAAGTTATGCAACATGCGTGTGTGCGTTTGAACGTGTGTGGGGGCTGCGAAACTGTCAAGTGAGAGTTGCAGCTATTGCACTAGATTCAAGTGGCAGCTGCAACTTGTTCACTGGCTGCGAGGCAGAACAATTAACAACGCCGAACGTTGCCAGTAAATGCATTTTAATAACACTCTATTATATCATTAAATTAAAACAGCATACGCATAATTGTTTGAAAGGTTATTTATAAAGGGGCGAATACCAAGTAACGACTAGCCAGCCAGAATCGAAAAAGTGTGTGTCAAACAATATTCTAACGAGTAACATGAAGGCGATCAACGAGTAAGAAGTAAACCATAGCGAGTAACTAACAACGAATAGGAAATGACAAGTAAAATATGACGAAAAAGGAATGAGAAAATGCGAACGAGTTGGTATTAGCAGCGAGTTGTGAGAATAGCACGGTGAAAACGGCTAAGTCGTTAACAGTAGCGAGTAACTAGTAACGATTAAGGAATCAAACGTGTAATATGACGACCAAGGATTAAGATAATAGGAACGAGTTGATATTAGCATCGAGTTAAGCGACGGCAAGTCACTTGCAAGGAATCAATAGGGCCTAACGAGCAGCAAGTTCGCTATAAAGATAAAGCAGTTAACAGTAGCGAGTAGCGAGTCAAAGAAAGAATAATAAGTAAAAAGGAACGAGTTATGTGAGTAAGAAATATGGATAAACCAACACAGCGTAATGGCTAAGTAGTTGGTTAGTAGTAGTAACGATAAAGGAATCAAAAGTAGAAGACGTCGAAAAATTAATTAGAAAATACGAGCAACTAGTTGGTATTCGTAAGAAACTAAGTATCGACTGTCGGCTAACGCTCAACGAATCATGAGAGTAAGCAATAAAGATAAACTAACACTTGTCGGGCTTTGCTAACTGATCATTTTGTAATGCCATTCCAGATAATAAATTGTTAAAAAAATATGTTTTGATTGCGTCGCATAGCTATGCAGTTCTTGTTGCTTGTGTGTTGACATACATATGTAGTTGACATTGTTAAGTGACTATGAAGCTGGTAGGTTTTTCCTGCTACCGCATGCCGCTTTCCGTTGTTGATTGAATTTCCTTGACCGGATCAACAAATTAGTCAACAACAATTTCCAATTAAATAATGGCTCTGATGTGTATTCGATTAACTTGAATTTACAGCGAATTGAAAGGCAATCAAAAATATGGGCAGAGCAACAGCATTGAGGCGGGTGTTGGCTGCAACTGCAACAGCAACTGCAACTGCGACTGCGACTGCTTCTGCGTCGGCATCTGCGTCTGCGTTGGCATCTGCGTTGCATTGCGTTGGCCGCGCCTGCGCAGTGCGAGCATTCACAATAGCCAGACAGAGGCTGGCCGCTGCGGCTGCCTGCTTTGCCAAAAAGTCGAAGCGCGACGCTCCAAACTTGTTTTCCATGGCTGCCGCTGCCGCCGCCGCTGCTGCTGGACCATATTTTCCCACCGCTTTTTTTTATCATGTGGCTCGTATAAATAGGCCCAAAGAACGCGATACTGAGACAGTTTTCGATTCGAAGCCTAGCAGCCCGGTGCAGTAAATCAGTTTAAAAACTGCAAATTTTTTTTCACGTGAAGCAAACATTTTAAAAAAACCACACCAAAATGGCATTCAAGGTGCGTAAGGACTAAAGTGTCTGCATGTGTTTGTGTGTGTCCCCGTCATACTACCTGGTCAGGATGCACTTCATTGGCCCAGTGTTGTTGCCAGGTTGAAAATTCAGACAGATGCAATTGCAAATATCCTAGCTGAGCAAGCCAAACTTTTGCTTGTTATCCTTGCCACAGTTGATGGCATCGCATTAGTGACCATTGCTACAAAAAAAGCAAAATATCAGAGTTCCTAAGCCTACCCTCTACCCGCTGAACTCCAAAAGCTGTTGTCATCAAGCTACATACATATTGCTAGCAATT